TATTGATTTCCAGACCCTAAGGTAATAGGTTTTTTTTTCCCTTTTTAAGTTTACCTCATTTGGAGACAATGTCCTTCCTCAGTGGACACAGAGGCTGAAGAGTCCAGAAAGCTAGGTGGTCCCTAAGCCCCTGCATCTGCCTTTTATTTTTTTTGGACAGGGTATCCATTAGAGATTGATTTTTAGATCAGTAGGTAACACTGCTTGGTTTTCACCTTCCCTGCTTCTCCTGTGAACTCAACTCATATCAAGAAGCTAATTAAAAGGAATCACACCCTAATAAAAAACTAATTGCTGATGCACAGCTCATCTGTCAGATATTAAATAGTGGCCATTTGGCATAGCTGATCTAATAGATGAGCAAGATTCAGAAGAGAACTTCAAGAGAAAATGGTGATGAACCTGCCAGAACAGGGTAGAAAGACGTGTAAGATATGCTGCTGTGCCCCCAGCTGGCTGCTTCTCCCCTTAGCCATTCTTCTCTGTGAATTTACGGCCTCTCCTCTCTTTGCAGGGTCCCCAAAGGGAAGCATCTAGGGGCTGCCTTGGGCCCTCTGCAATTGTCCTAGTTTGCTTTGCTCTTAGAATGTCCATCTTCTTTGCATGCCTTCAATGAAGACATCTATATAATACTCACAAATCTTGCTTCCACTTCTGATTCCTCTCCTCCATAGTTAATACTGCATTTCCAAAACTTTCTGGATATCCACTGCCATCTCAAATTCAACGTATTCAGAACCAGACTCAAGATCATCAACTGATTTCCATTCCTTCCTTCTTTCCTTCCTTCCTCCCTCCTTCCATCCTCCATTTATTGGCACTGTGGTAGGCCTGAGGCACAGATAAGGATAAGGCACTCCTTGACTTTAAGGAACTCAGAGTTTGTTCCCAAATTGGAGAATCAAAATTAATGAGTCAGAAAGCATCTACGTGTCCTACCTCAACATCCTTATTTTGTATACAAGGCAACCAAAGCCAAGAGAGATCAAATGGCTTGTTTAAGGTCACACATGCTATTGGCAAAGCCAGGAATTAAACCCAAGACTCCTGATATGGTAATTTCCATCAAAGACATCATAATTCTCCCAGCCACTCTAGTTCAGATCTGAGGAGACACGTGTTACCATGTCACACCCTCAACAACCAATCACAAAGCACTTTAATACCTTTCTTTTGAATATCTCTCACATATGCCACTTCCTTTGGTTTCCAACCATCAGCAGGCTGACCATCCAAGTCAGCGTGACCTTCACACATCACCCTCAACTTGCCAGCAGAGATGTTCAGTCTCCTTGGTACTTCCTGCACTAGCACAGTTCCCCTGCCTGACCTGCACCACCCTCCCAGCCCCAATCCACCCTCCTCCAATTTGATCCACTCATGTCTACCAAGGTAATATTTCTAAAGCATCTGTACACATCATGCACCTGCTCCAAGCCCCACAGTGAGTCTCCAATATACTCGGGATGCTGTGTGGGAGAACAGGTCTGTGGTCATGGGGAAATACTGCTTGCACTCTACCCCCTGGAGAATCATTTTCTCTTGAACTGGTATTTCTCAAACTTATTTGACCACAGAACTTCCTTTTTTCAAGGAACACACATTAACCCCCCTCTGATCCAGTATGTGCAGAAGCGCACTGTGGGAAGCGGGAGCCTGCAGTCTGTAGTTCAACAGGTTGGCCAGGCAGCCCAGATTTTCTCTACTCGCCTTCCCATCCTTCCATGACTGCCTGAGCCAGCAAAACTAGTCCATTCATTGTTATTTAATACTTCATTTTCACAATTTCTCCAACTAGAAATATCCTCCTTCCTTTCCACTTACTTAAATCTTCCTTCCTCCAAAATTCAATTCAGGTCTCATCTCTTCTATAAGTCCTTTCCCAGCTCTCTCACCCAAAACTACTGTAGCATTTATATACGTGTATCAGAAAACGAAAATCTCAACAGCAGAAAATGCATATAGCTCACATTTGCATCAAGAAGCTAATAAAATGGCAAAAATTTCCCTATCAAATAGCTTCAAATTAATTTACAAGGTAAGATTATATTACATTCTCAAGAACTGCATTTCTACAAAACCATCAGGATCTTGAAGGAGGGGAAAAAGGGAGATTTTACATTAATAAATAATTCACTGTTACTGACACTGAGTTCAGCTGTTTTGACTAGAATAAGGAGACACTAGGAAAGTTTCATGCCTTCATTTTCATTTTGCAAAAACTGTCAAGAACCGGCTAATGAATACTATGAGAAGAAAAGAGAATAGTGTACAGAAAAAACAAAATCATTACAGATGCCATAAACACCACTTACACTCTAAGTGAATATTATCCCCTTCCTGTTTCCAGTGATTTTTTTCACACAATATATACAAAATTAGTCTCATTTATTTAAAAGATACCACATCTGTATATCCTTATTTTTAAAAGATTTTTCTTCCTAATGGTGAAAAGATGCCTTGTGATAATAACACCCAATTCAGTTGCTATCTAAAGTTCAAAAGCAATCATATTAAATGCCACATTTTAACACACATGTATCTCCCCCATCTCCATAAGCAGCTTCAAGTTATGGAAGAGTTCATGAAGAGAAGGAAATCTGAGGTAACCCTCGTCTTTCAACTTCCTGAATTGAAAATGTACAAAGCTCACCTGTGGGCCTCCCACCTCCTCCTGACCACCAATGTTTGCCATCCCAGAGCCATTCATTCCCAGAAAGCTATGACAAATAGGACAGTAGTCATCAGCCTGGATCTCCCATACCAGCTGGGAAGAATCTGGACTGTCTATACTCTGGACCTTACCAGCGTTGTCTAAGATTACCATGACTGATTGCTCCTCCCTTGCCTCTGTCTAACTCAGCCCTTGTTCATTTGGACTTATAATGCCTTCTTAAACTTTTTAACATCTTCTGGCTTGACCTATTATCACAGGCAACTGTCCAATCCTCCCAAGACTATATGTTCATGTTGTTTTAACCTTTAACCATCATATCTGTGGATCCCTTTGCTCAAATGAGCCCTGGACAGATTCTGAGGTGAGAGAAAATTTAGCCTCAAGTCCTATCTCCAACCTTATTATCCCACATTAACCCTTTACTTCAAGCAAACTGATCCATTCCCGGAACCCTGAATTATCCATGCCATACACATCCCCCATTTTGTTTTTCAAAAGCCCTGTCCGGCAAGACCTGATTCAAGGCTCTGCTCCCAAGAAACCTTCTCTAATTTGGCCAATGGTAATCACCTCAACATCTGAACTAGTATACTGACTGTCTTCACCAGAGATTCACACAGCAGGTCCTGCAAAACAATAGCCCCAAAGCATGTCTCCAAGGAGAAGGCTCTCTCTTGAAAATTATAATGCACATTATCATATTAAAACCTTAGACATCTTACAGCAAAGAAAGCTTTCAAACAATATTGAACACCTTGTTTGTGAAACTTATTTTTCTATGGAATCCCCTTCTATCTTCTAGCCTTTAAAAAGTTTGGAAGTGCAGACATAAGGAAAACAGGTCTCCACAAGTCAGTGGCATTTCCCACCAGTGATCTTGCATTCTAATGTCCATGTGCCCATATCTTCTCTCCAAATGGTTTGAATAGTAACAATCCAGCAGCTCCAATTAGCTTTGGGATTTCTCTACTACTACGACTACGATGACTACTACTACTATTACTACTTCTTCTTCTTCTTTTTTGAGAGAGAGCGAGCGAGAGCTAGCATGCACACGAGCGGAGGGGGAGGGGCAGAGGGAGAGAGAGAGAATCTTAAGCAGGATCTATGCTCAGCACGGAGCCCAATGCAGAGCCAGATGTGGGGCTCGATCTCACAATCCTGAGATCATGACCTGAGCCAAAATCAAGAGTTGGACGCTTCACCAACTGAGCCACCCGAGCACCCCAAGGCTTTCTCAACTTCTATTGCTATCTTTACCCTCCCATCATTCTGTGCTTGCTACATGTTAAGGTCAGGCATAGTGCCTAGCACATAGTAAATATAGAAGGCATTAGCTACTTTCATTTTGAAGCAGTAGGGAATGTGGTCAAGAGCTGGGTCTGTGGAATCAGACCAACCCTGTTTTAGGTCTGGCCCAGCCCTCACCAGTGAGCTCGAGGACTATGTCTGTTTTGTTCACTTGTGCCTTGTACACACGGAGTCCCTAATATAGAACATACAGTCAGTAACTTTTTATTGAGTGTATTAAGCACAAAGCAGTTCTCAACCCAAGTGATTTTGCCCACGAGGGGAACGTGTAACAATGGCTGGAGACACTGTGGGCTGTCACAATTAGCAACCGGTGGCTAAAGGTCAGGGGTGCTATTAAACATCCTACAATGTACAGGACAAAGAATTATCTAGCTTTAGAGGTCATCAGTGCAGAGGCTGAGAAAACCTGCCCTAGAGTCAGGCTGGTCAGGGATACATTTCTAAATGCAGACACTGTTTGGCTTGGAGCAAGTTACCGAATTTTTCTGTCTTAATTTCCTCATCTGTAGAATGCAGCACTGGTGATAGAAGGTTGTTGTAAGATGACATATATACAAATGAGATAAACTGAGTAACACACATGAGATGTGTTTAACACGGCAACTGGTGGGGGATGTGACCTGTGAGCATTCTTACCGTTAGCCTTCAGTCACTATCTCCTCCTGAAATGAGGCCTTCAGCTGAAATCTTTATCCTCTCAGAACTCATTATCAATCCCAGAGTGAGTACTTTTTTTTTTTTTAAGATTTTATTTATTTATTTGAGAGAGAGAGAATGAGAGATAGAGAGCATGAGAGGGAAGAGGGTCAGAGGGAGAAGCAGACCCCCCGCCGAGCCGGGAGCCCGATGCGGGACTTGATCCCAGGACTCCGGGATCACGACCTGAGCCGAAGGCAGTCGCCCAACCGACTGAGCCACCCAGGCGTCCCAGAGTGAGTACTTTTATCAAAATAAGCCCTGCGCCCCCACTTACGTTTACTGTATAGTCAGATTTTATTTATATGCTCACCAGGGGCTCAAGAGTGAAAATGTTACTCAAGAAGAGCATGCTGTCTGCCTGAACCAGCCTCCTCTGATTCTCAAAGGTGCGGCACAGAATGGACAGTTGTCCTCGGAGTGAAGGATCAATAATGCACTCTTCAAGAAGCTCATCAGTCTCATTCTTTTCCTCTTCGCTCAGATCATCACAGACCCTAAAGAAAAGGCAGGAAATGAGATTTCTTTCGGTGGTCCCATGAAGAACACTGTAAAGGGCTCCCCTTCCGCCCATCCTCCTGAAAGTGGTCTCGCCCATCACCCTTAGAGGGTCCCTTTTTGCCGAAAGTCTGTAACATATGAGCTGAGTGAACTTGGACTTTAACCTCTCAAGAGCATCAGTTTGCTCAACTTTAGTCACTTCCTTAAGCAAGCCCTCCTGGGCTTCCTGTTCTACTCAATGCTCATTTGCTTACTACTGAGTCTTTATGTATATTCAGACAAATATTTTCTTTCAGATAATTATGTTTCCCAGGCTGCTTTTTAAATATTTAATATCTACCATGCCTCTCACACTAGAAAAACAATTTTTTTTTTTTTTTTTTTTTTTTTAGTTTAAGCTTTTTTTTTTTTTTTAATAATTTTTTTATTGTTAACCACCATACATTACATCATTAGTTTTTGATGCAGTGTTCCATGATTCATTGTTTGTGCATAACACCCAGTGCTCCACACAGAATGTGCCCTTTTTAATACCCATCACCAGGCTAACCCATCCCCCGAACCCCCTCCCCTCTAGAACCCTCAGTTTGTTTTTCAGAGTCCATCGTCTCTAATGGTTCGTCTCCCCCTCCGACTTACTCCCCTTCATTCTTCCCCTCCTGCTATCTTCTTCTTCTTTTTTTTCTTAACATATATTGCATTATTTGTTTCAGAAGTACAGATCCGTGATTCATCAGTCTTGTACAATTCACAGTGCTCACCATAGCACATACCCTGCCCGATGTCTATCACCCAGCCACCCAATCCCTCCCACCCCCCACCACTCCAGCAACCCTCAGTTTGTTTCCTGAGATTAAGAATTCCTCATATCAGTGAGGTCATATGATACATGTCTTTCTCTGACTGACTTATTTCACTCAGCATAACCCCCTCCAGTTCCATCCACGTCGTTGCAAATGGCAAGATCTCATTCCTTTTGATGGCTGCATAATATTCCATTGTGTATATATACCACATCTTCTTTATCCATTCATCTGTCGATGGACATGGAAAAACGTTCCATGCTCATGGATTGGAAGAACAAACATTGTGAAGATGTCAATGCTACCTAGAGCAATCTACACATTCAATGCAATCCCCATCAAAATACCATCCATCTTTTTCAAAGAAATGGAACAAATAATCCTAAAATTTGTATGGAACCAGAAGAGACCCCGAATAGCCAGAGGAATGTTGAAAAAGAAAAGCAAAGCTGGCGGCATCACAATTCCGGACTTCCAGCTCTATTACAAAGCTGTCATCATCAAGACAGTATGGTACTGGCACAAAAACAGACACATAGATCAATGGAACAGAATAGAGAGCCCAGAAATGGACCCTCAACTCTATGGTCAACTAATCTTTGACAAAGCAGGAAAGAATGTCCAATGGAAAAAAGACAGTCTCTTCAACAAATGGTGTTGGGAAAATTGGACAGCCACATGCAGAAGAATGAAACTGGACCATTTCCTTACACCACACACAAAAATAGACTCCAAATGGTTGAAAGACCTAAACGTGAGACAGGAGTCCATCAGAATCCTAAAGGAGAACACAGGCAGCAACCTCTTCGACCTCAGCCGCAGCAACTTCTTCCTAGAAACATCACCAAAGGCAAGGGAAGCCAGGGCAAAAATGAATTTTATTTCTTTTTAAACTTACTTAGCCTTAATTCTTGCTTAGCTGTTAGTTACCTAGGGAACAGAATCTGGAACCAGCAGGGACTGGGCTGGGATACTGATTCTGCTATCATTTACTAGCTCTATGACTTTGGAGGGTCCTGAATTCTTAACAGCCTCAGCGCCTTCACCTGTACAACAGAGATAATAGGAGCTCCCCCATCACAAAGATCTGTTGAGGATAAAATGTGATCAAGGACCTGACAGTTCCTGGGACAGAGCAGGTCCTCGATGAATATTGTTTTCTCTCCGTGTCAACCACAGGCAACTACCAAGCTCTCAAGCTTATAAAATGCTCAAACCACACCTAAAGACACCTCATTTTTTCTCTCTTTCTAGCTCTTAATACCCATTGTTATAAGTCAGAAAAGCAGCCCTCCCCAACCCTTTCCTCATTGTCCTCACCAAAGCTGTGTTCACATTACTCCTAGTACCTGTTACTTCATCTGCACTTTGAAGACTGGATTTTATCTCCTCCCAGGACATAGGACCATTTTCCCAGCATTTTGCTGATATTGCCAATGGTGACAGACAATTTATGCAGCTAACTGAGTGCTCACTAAGAACTCTGGGTCACTGAATTCCTGTCCCAGCCCCAACTACTTTCTAAACGACTTCATGCAGACTTTATGTTCAGCAATGCCAAACAGCTCTTTTTTTTTTTTCTCAAAGATTTTATTCATTTATTTGACAGAGAGAGACACAGTGAAAGAGGGAACACAAGCAGGGGGAGTGGGAGAGGGAGAAGCAGACTCCCTGCTAAGCAGGGAGCCCCCATGCGGGGTTCGATCCAAGGACCCTGGGATCACGACCTGAGCGGAAGGCAGGCGCTTAACGACTGAGCCACCCAGGCGCCCCCAAACAGCTTTTTTTAATGACTTGGCATTCAGGGCCCTTTGGTCACAGAAGATAAAGAAGTCAAAGAAATGGGTTCAATGTGTTCTGTGTCCCAGGAAGAAAGCACCCTGTGCTTCCTTTTCACTGCTAGCTGGAAAGCAGTGTCCAAAGTAACCAGAGCAGCCGTCCTTCTACACTGCTGCACAGAGCAGGACAAATAAAGAGAAGTCAGTCCACAGAAAGAAAGGAAACCATTTAACTCCTGTGAGTGGAATTTATGATACCTACCTTTGGGAATATATCCTGAAGAAACAATCATGGATATAAACAATGACACAACCAGAAAGATGTTCATCGAAGTGCTTGCAATAATACTAACAAATGTGGGTAAATTTGATGGGAGAGATTAAAGGATTATTTAAAAAATTATAATGGGAATCATAAACATTCCATTTCTTTAGGGGGTTAAATGGGAGTGCGGCGTGGAAATAAAATGTCTTATATGGACAAGGATGATACGCTGCATGAACTGATGAGTATGATTGATTCAAACCTTACAAAAGAAAACAAAAGAGAATGATAAAAAAAAAAAGAAAAAAAGAAAAAAAAAGAAAACAAAAGAGAATGAAACAAAAATTCCCAAATGCTCTTCTCCCACACTGCTAGGACTCATGAATCACTCATAGCCACATAATGCAAACGGGGTCATGATGCACTGTATGTCTTCCTCTTTGCCCTCTGATTAGACAACTGGAGCCATGGCTGAGAGTCTAAGAAGGGAACATGAAACACCTTGAGCTGAGCTGACTCCAACAAGGGCTGCTATAAACCTCAGTCTATTGCTGGGCCATCTTGTCCTGCTGCTATTCATGGTCTCCTACATTCAGAGGTGCTTCTGTTTTACAGATGAGGAAACCTTTCATCAGAGAGCAGAACAACACACTAGCCCTCTCTCTCAGTAACCCATTTTACAAAGGGTCTGGTAGGCACTTTCAGGCATCAAGTCCAGCCTGTGGATTATAATGAATGGGAAAGCCTTGTGTCTCAGGTACAGTAGCATTAGACCAGGAATGCTCCCTTATATTGAGGTGCTAGAGACCCTGCTCCTTTGCAGCACCCCCAAGAAGTGTAACTGGATGCTGAGGAGATTAAAAACTTAGAGCTTTGGCCTTCAAGAGAGAAGTACTCTCAGGACCACACTTGGCATGGAAAAGATGAAGTCATCCATCTTCAAATGGACCATGTGACCCTGGACACTGAGCAACTCAGTGATGACTATTATAAAGTGAAGACTAGGTCTGCCTTCCTGTTTACCAAGTACCATCCAAGTCTTTAGATTCTTGTATCACCCTGGGGAAGAGAAGGGACTCCCAAACACAGCTAAGATTAAATTTATTATTAGCCAAGTGTCAGGCTCAAAGCCCAATTAAAACTGATCTATCTAGAGAAAATGTCACTTCCTGCACCTGAATGTTGTGGAATAAATCCATGCTGACAACTTTGTGGGGGTTCCACTGAGGATTCTAGGAGTTCTTGTATAGAACAAATCTAGAATTGGAGCCAAATGCTATTAAAACAATGGCCATGACCTTCATGGAGAAATGGGAGCAAAAATCCTCAAAAGCCCATGCCATGTCTCTGAATATAATAAACTGTGGTAAGAATGAGTATGAAAGAATCTTGTAGGATGTTTTATAATCCCTCAGGACAAGGGGGAAGAAGTAGGGAGAGATGAATGCACCTTCTTTTTCTGAAGAGATGAATTTCTCTGCAAGTCCCAAAAAAAATCAACAAAGAGAAAGACCCAAAAGATAATTTTTTAGAGGTCCCTATATCTCATTCTGAAGGTTTTAAAAACTGAAAAAACAAAAACAAAACTTAAAGCCCAAAACTTCTTCCTAGGGGGAGTGACATCTTCATTGTTAGAGTCTAGAGCCTGGGATTAGCCCAAGGACCTCAAATATGGACATATGTCCTAAGGTTTGTACCAACACATTTTGGTTTGATAGGTAAAGAGTAAGTCATCCTTCTTGGAATGGAAATAATAAACTGCCAGAAAGGAACAGGGTTTCCTATTCCTGATTAAGGCTGGAATTCCTCCACAGAGAGAAGAGATATCCAAGTCTGGACTCAGGTCACATCATCAAGAAGCGGGAGGACAGGGGTGCCTGGGTGGCTCAGCCAGTTAAGTGTCTGACTCTGGGTTTCGGCTCAGATCATGATCTCGGCGTCCTGAGATTGAATCCCACATCAGGGGCTCTGAGCTCAGCGAGGAGTCGGCTTGAGACTCTCTCTCCCTCTCCCTGTGCCCCTCCCCCCTGCACTTGATTTCTTAAATAAATAAATAAATCTTTTAAAAAAAGATGCTGGAGGACAGAAACCTCAATGACTAGAACAGGGTCTTGAGGGTATCCATTAAAGTGAACAGCATTTTCAATGCGACCACTGAGCAACTTTCAGCTTCTGTAAGATGAATGCCTTAGGACGAGCTTTAAGCCATATTGTAACTGGACAGCAGTGGGCAGACTCTTGAGTCTCACCTAAAAACCTACACTGAGGTTTTAAATCCTGGGTCCTTGGGGAGCTACAAAGGGAAACTTTATTCTCTCAAAGTATGCATGAGCCCATTTAGAACAGATCCTCTCTGTTCCAAGTTGAGGACCAAACTAAATGTTCAGTAAAAGGCAAACCTCTCTGTATCTGTCTTGCTTTTTGAGAGAATGGGCATTCCATGGCTAGTTATGTCCAGTACAAGAATTCATGATGAATAACACGAACATCAGTTTAAAAAAATACATTAAAAAATGAAAGTTATGGCATGGCTGGGGATACAACAAGGAACAAGAGAGGCATAAAACAGAAAAGACAACCTGGCCGAATAAGAAATTGGGCATAAATGGCCTATTTCCCCTCTAACTCTATTTCCCCCCTTACCCTGGCCATCTGGCCCTAGGAAAGGTGGAGTTTGGAAAAGGTAAAGAGCAGTATATTCAATGACCTCTTCACTTAGATCAACCAATCCAGTTTGGAGAAACATGAATTGTGTTGCCATGTGTCACTCAAAGTGAAAATGGAAGTATTCTTATTTAGTCATCTGAACCCACTTTTCAAGTTCATTGTTTAACGGAGGGGCAAAATCCTAGATGATCAAAGTAGGCTTCCAATCACAATTATGAAAATGCCATTCCATATTATTCCCTTGCTACAAAAAAAAATTGCTATAGGACCTAACAGAGCAAGAAAGATAGCAAAAGAAAGACAACATAAGAGAAAAGGAAGAATAAGCCCCAGGATAATATGAAAGAGATAAAAGGGTATGAGTATCGGGGGAGGTAAAGTAGAGGAATAAAAGAAAGAAATGTCTATCCAGGCGTTGTTGAAATTATATTCTCTATCCCTGGCACCTCTGATAATAATTGGTTTAAGTTATTCTTGAGTTTCACTGTTGAAATTAGCTTCCTTAAACACTTTTTGGACATTGGCGTGGCATCAGTCATGTGTTATACATATGGTCAAATGCACATAGTTGAAGGTAAAGCTAGCTTTCCTTCTGATAGTGTGTACCCGTTCTCCCCAAAAGATTATGCCCACAGGACAAGCAGGATATTGAAACACTGTGTTTACTGGAGTTTCCCTTGTTTGTACCTGCTCTCCCATTTTATCTTTAAGCATGCTTGGGCCATTCTGATTGTTGGGACACTCATGAATGGGGGAATCAGGACAGATGAAGCAGTGGATGAGCAGTTTCCTCTTGCCTTTTTGAACTACTGGTATTTCTATGCTATGAGGCAAACTGAAGTTTTTAGCAGGAAAGGCTTTTCTTTTCTCACTTTTTAAAGATGGCACAGTGGCAATCCAGTGATTAAAGCTCATTGTCTGAATGATAAAGCCTCTGGTCCACTGCGTCCTGCCATTGTCAAGGCTCCTTCTGATTCAATTAGGGACAGAACACTGGGGGATTTCTGCCTGGTTTCTGTGGACCTAAGACTTTTATTTTTATCACATACTAACTTGGTTTTAAACAAAGCTTTGAAGCTTCCCAGGGCTAATCTTTAATGAAAATGGAGAGGCAAATAAAAAAGGCTGAAATAAATTCTAATGAAAGCAGTGAAAGTGCTAATTCAGGGAGGGTGGAAGGAGATAAAAACGAAAATGGACTTTAAAAGAGGCAGGGATAGATTCAGTAAAAAGAAATATTCAAAATTTAACAGTGATGAGATTAGTTAAAAGAGTTTGGTTTGCCACTTCATTAATTTTCTCCACTGCCTGAAGTATTTTAAAAGGTAGAAGATTAAAGATACCAACAAGAAATCATTATTAAATTATATGGTTAGCAGGGATTGAGCAAGGCTACTAAAGCTGAGAATATAAAAGCCATTATATCTAAGCCCTTCTTTTCCCTCATTCTTCATATTTTCTGGAAATATTTTCTCACTGAAAAAAAAATCCACACTGATCCCAATCCAAAAGAGATTATTTTTAGAAACTATGAAATCTGACCAATCTGATTAGGGTTGTGAAACAAAATACAGTCCTGTATGTTAGTTTTGACAGACTAGTGAAAAATGATATATTTGGTCTTTAAAATCCAGGAGTTTAGCTATTAATAAATTATAACCAGGTTAATATTAACCGGGGATGGACAACACTGTGTTCCACATAGCTCAATTCAAGTTCCTTAAACAAAAAAAAGGAGCATCATACACCAGAACCAAGTTATAAAAGTCTGACCTTGTTTGAGTTGGTTAAAAACTTACCACAAAAGTCACAGATTTTTTTCATAATAACTGAGCTTTGAGTTCCCCCAAATTACAGCATATTGGTGATTTTTCTTACAAACCTATACTTTTCTCTGTCTTCCTCTTCCTGGGTAGCAAATATCTTCCACTGGAAATGGGCAATGATGTTACTGCGGTTGTGAAGAGTCACAGTTCGTTGATTGGACAGAGATATGTAGGTTTTCTCAATGATCAAGGAATTCCTGTCCAGTCTTATATTCATGTCTATGGCAGCTCCATACAGAGATAAAAAGACTTTTTCACCTAGAAATTAACGAAGTACAAACACACTTTGAGATTTATTCTAGAATGACTACTTGGCTATCTTTTCCCCAAGGTGAAGTTATAGCACAAGCATTAGACATTTCATTATCCTCCCCACCCACCCATCAATCCAGAGATCAGACATGATCAGAAAACTTAAATATTATGTTTGATGTAGTTATAGAGAATCAAACTATCTTACTTTGGTCACTGTAAAAATCACATAAAATATGAATTGTTATGGTGGGTGTTGCCTTTTCTTCTTTGTAATTTTTTTAAAGATTTTATTTATTTGAGAGAGACAGACACACACACACAGAGAGATAGAGAGCACAGGGAGAAGCAGAGGGAGAGGGGCAAGCACATTCTGCACTGAGTGCAGAGCCCAATGTGGGGCTCCACCTCAGCACCCTGAGATCATGACCTGAGCCGAAACCAAGAGTCAGACATTTAACCGACTGAGCCACCCAGGTGCCCCTTCTTTGTAATATTTTTAAGTCCTACAGCCTGACCATGAGGGCACGTGAGTTCTAGAATTATAACCATATGTCTCCTCTTTATCCCAGGCATGAGTTGGCATTCTGATTCTTAAAGTAACTGTACCAAGTATATCTAAGACGAGCTGCTCAGCATGCAAGGATCTAAGTCCAATCAAAGGGGATCAGAAAGAAAGAATTAATAACTTCATTAGTTAAAAAAAAAACACAACTATTTAAAAGGAATCACTTCCTTCAACAGCAATTAAAACAAAAATCACACACTCACACATATCTAGGGAGTAGTTACATAGAAAGAAAACAAAATAGAAAGACCAAAGCTATGTGTAAATTTTTTAAAATTTAATGTTAAGAACACCTTTATTCAGCATAGTAATTTAAGTTCCTGATTTCATTCAAGATGCACTAATTACCTTGATTCTAGGTAAAACATGAGGCCCCTTGGGCTTCCAAGGAGACACAAACGTATAAACTATGTTCTACCTGATTTCTGCAATGTCACAGCTGCTGCCTCACTTGGACATCAAAGTAGAAAAAAGAAATACTTAAATACAAGGAACGTCCTGTGGATCTGTGCTGTTGTAATTTTAATTAGAACCCAGAAAGCATAAGCACTTGTGCCTTATTTTTTAGCAAACATTTCTGCTCCACTCACCATTGTATTAACCAAGCAGGCACTTAGTAAATTAATAATGCTTTATACAGCTCAAACATCCTTTATGCTCCATCACTTTGAACACAGAACAACTCTCCCCAAAATTTAAAGAAAAAGTAGGCATTTGACTCTAAAATTTTAAACTTTTCTGTAAAAATGTATAAAGTAAAATTTTCCCAAATACTATAAAAGCATATACTGTGAAAATAAAATATCTTCTCCCCTTCACTCAATCCTAGGCCAGCCTTTCAAAGGTAAGAGCTGTTAATATTTTCATGTACTCCCCTCCTAAATAAAAGTATGTACTCTTTCAACTTTTAAACTTTCTGATGAGCTAAATTTAATAATATGATAAGTGAGAAATCCTTGTTGTTCTAATTTGCATAGTCTTAGTTATGGATGATGTTGAACATCTTTTTATAGATTAAAGAATTTTAAAGACTTTTTTCTGTGAGATGCCTATTATAGCCTTGTTCATTTTCCTTTTGAGAAGTTTACCTTTTGCTTATTGATTTGTGAGACTTTTTTGATATTAAAAAATAAGCTCTTTGTCATTCATGTTGCAATTTTTTCCTCCACTAGATATTTGAACTTCTCCATGACTTTTATTTTTCTGAATAAGTCTCTTTTCTCTTAGTCCTTATGTAGTCTGATTCTTTCCTTTATGGCTTTTAAAAATAAGTTTATAGGGATGCCTGGATGGCTCAGTCAGTTAAGCGTCTGCCTTTGGCTCAGGTCATGATCCCAGGGTCATGGGATCGAGTCCCTCATCGGGCTCCTTGCTCAGCGAGGAGCCTGCTTCTCCCTCTGCCTGCCACTCCCCCTGCTTGTGCTTTCTCTCTCTCTCTAATAAATAAATAAAATCTTTAAAAAATAAAAAATAAAAAAATAAAAATAAGTTTATATTTTTTTAAATTACATTTTTAACCTCAACTTCCATCTTCCCTTAAAAGTAGCTCCTTTCTTAAAGAAACTAAGGCAACCATAAATAGGTCTGGCTCAACATACTATTTAAAATGAGACATAGGTAATGTTCTTTTTTTAGCAATGATAAAGTATGTTAATAGACTTTCCTGTTAAAATAACTTTAAAATCTGGACAAAATATGAACAAGCATCTTCTTAAAGTCACTTCAGAGCCATCGTGATAGTAAGGAACTATCAGCCCAAAAATTAAAGGAAAATAGGACCAAAGAGATCAGTGAGCATGGAAGAAAATTTTGACCCAAGGATATGGTACTCTTGTCAATGCTGAGCTATCATTCCTGGGCAGGCAGGAGGGATGGCAATCAAAACGCTAAGTCTACAGAAAGGGGGGCTTAAAACAAACAAAAAGACTTTCTCCACAACAAGCTTATCCTCAGAGGACTGCACCCTCAAGATGAGTTTGAATTAGAAGTAGAGTAGCCCTAATTCAGAGTTAAATATTATGCTGATATTATGTCTATGATTGGAGAGAACTTCAGTCCTTGGATTTGGTGATCATGGACTGGTTTCACTCTCAGAAACCTAGCAGGAGCAACTCACTTCTCTTTGGAGGAAAGTACTTATATCCAAAGTTTCAAATTCTTCAACATTTTTAAAAATACACATCCAAACATAACCAGGCATGCCAAGAAACAAAACTCCATTTGTTTGAACCAGCAGATATAAGAAAAACAGAAACAGATTAACAAAGAATTATATACTAGAATCATCACATATAGATTGTAAACCAACTATGTCTAAAGAAACAAAGGATGACCTTGAAACTATATCCAAGGAGTGGGAAATCAAACAAAGATCTAGAAAAGTTGGAAAAGAGCCATACTAGGCTCTTATAGAAATAAAATAAAATCACCTAAATTTTTAAATCTCTACGAATAAGATTAATAAAATAATTTTAATAATTTTATGAAAAGATTAGTGAAATGGAACATGGTTCAGAAAACACAAAAGGCAATATGAAGAAATAAAAATATATGAAAAATGAACAATGAATGACTAAAATCCTAGGCAGATGGAGTGAGAAGGTATAAGCGTTTAATTGGAAACTTAGAAGGAAAGGAAAGATAAAATGAAGCAAAGACAGTATTTCAAGAGCTGATGGTTAAGAGTTTTCTAGGATTGATTGAAATCATCAGTTTATAATTCAAAAAGCCCAAATGAATGTCAAGTGGAGAAATTAATACATGAATATACTGTAGTAAAACTAAAGAAAATCAAAGACAAAGAGTAAGTCCTAAAAGCAGTCAGAGGAAAAGACATACTATCTTCAGAGGACCCATGGTTAGAATTACAGCTAACTTTTCAACTGGAGCAATGGAAACTAAAAAAAAAAAAAAAAAAAAAAAAGGAATGGCTTCTTCACTGTGATGAAGGGGGAAAAATGTCAACCATGAATTTATAGTTTTTTAGACTTTTTTTGTTTGTCTACAAACATCTTTGTTTTGTCTTCATTTTTAAGGATATTTTCAATAGGCAAAGGACTATAAATTAGCATTATTTTTCTTGAAGCACTTGAATAATATCACATTACTGTCTTACGGTTTCCATAATTTCAGCTGAAAAATTTGCCATCAGCATTATTACTGTGCCATTTAAGTAATGTGTCTTTTTTTTTCTTCTGACTCCTTTTATGACATTCTTTTTGCTTTAGTTTCCAGCAGTATTTGAACTAACAAGGGTTTGCTGAGCTTTGTGAACTGTGAATTATTGTCATTATCCTTTCGGAACTGATAGAATTAAAACACAGTATAAAGTCTCAGTAATTAAGCCAGCATTAAAAGATTGATGGAATAGAATAAAAAGTCAAAAGAGGCCCAAATACATGCTAGAATTTATTATATTATAAAGGCAGCATCTCAAATCATTGGCATAAAAATAAACTTTGTAAAAAAAAAAAAATAAAAAGCACTACTGGGACAACTTGGTAACCATATGGAGAAACATAACTCCCATCTAACAATAGAATAAATGCCAAATGAATAAAATATTTACGTGTTCAATGTGAAACCATAAAAGTAGAACAATACACAGGAAAACTTCTTTGTAACTTTTGAGGGGAAAGTTTTCTAACCATGTCTCAAAATCCAGATTCCTCTAAAAAATATTAAGAAATTTGATTACATAAAAATGAAAAAAGAAATTTTGGGGTGGCTGGGTGGTTCAGTCAGGTAAGTGTCCGACTCTTGATCTCAGCTCAGGTCTTGGTCTCAGGGTTGTGAGTTCAGGCCCCACAGTGGGCTCCATGCTGGGCATGGAAACTTCTTAAAAAAAAAAAGAAAAAAGAAATTTTGCATGCTGCAAAAATGTAAGTAAAAACAAAAGAAAAAGTGGCCAAAATATGTGCAACTCATATCTGAGACAAGGGAATTAAATCCCCAAATATGTAAATAAGTCTTAGAAATCAGTAAGACAATCCAGTACAAGAATGGGACAGAGTTGTAAGAAAAGAAATATATAGGCCCCCTATATGTGTTAAAAGATGCTCAACTTCTCTCATAATAAAAGTGACACAACTAAAGTTGTATTTATATAACATTCCCCCAAATGCATTGGGTAGAACAAAAGTTTGAGAACATAATCTGTTGCCAAGACTGTGGGGAGAAGACCCTCTTACACATTGCCATGGGAATGCAAAATGGTACCATTTTTCCTCACTCATGGAGTGAGTTTGGTGACACAGATTAAAATATCTATCAAGCTTACAAAACAACTTACCCTCTGGCCCACTTCTAGGAATTTATCCTGTTGATGAGTTAGAATAAGATCAGCAGAGTAGAAACAGCCAAAGTACCCACCAAGAGAAGACTGGCTAAATACTCTGTGTTACATCTAAAAGTGGAATGCCATGAAGGTATAAAAGTA